TTGCAGAGTGGATCCAAGAGATGCTACCCTTGGCTCAGGGGCGATCTGGGTTAAGCAGCACAAACTGGGAACCTCTTTGATATCCTGGATGCTGCTGCTCGCGTGGTCCTGGACCAGCACACGGACACAGGGTCGTTTCCTGCAAATTAATGTTGGGAAGGAGGAAATGTTTAGCACAAGGCAAGCAAATCTCAACGCTGGGCAAAGTAGGGTTTATTTAGGGGTGAATATTTGCCACAGTTTCAGCAAGGAGATGAGGTGCATGGCGGGGTGTGCAGGACAGCTCCCCGTCCCCATGTCCTCGCTGCCACCTCGCTGTGTGTCCCCAGGGCACAGGGACACTCTTCTGCTTCCCAGAAATCTTCACGCCAGCTCCATCACAAACGATCGCTTCTCCATGGAACTAGCATCACCCCTTTGCAAATATTCTCTGCAACTGTAAAAACTGCATGTTTCTCATCTGAGTGCTTTTGTAGGCTTTATAGCGACAATTAATCAACTGTCATAAAAATGATGGGACATTCTTTAAAAAATGGGTAATTTCTCCTACTAGCATTACTCTTAATTTCAGCACTTTCAAGGTCAACTTTGCATGCAGTAACTGGAAGCCAGATTAAGCTTACACTGCAGATGTTCTTCCTCAAAAAGAGACAGAGAATCTTTTTCATCCTATCATCACAGGCTTGCTAGTATTTTAAAACAGCACTGGATGTTTTGATTTTAGCTGGAAAGTGACACAGACAAGAAGAAATCCAGCCCCTGAAGAAGACTGTTTTGCTTTTAGTATCTCAGGTGTCTGCATAAGTGACACGTGCATTTAGAAGCAATGTAAGTAAGGAAACTGAAATCTGAAATGCTTTTAGATATTATAGATACATATATTAGAATATGTGTACTTTATGTATACTTTTTATAGCTACATATAAAAGTTTACTGCCTGAGGATAAACTCAGTCAATGAAACTTCCAAGAAATCATGACCTGGAAGGGTGCTTGGTGTCAAAGAAGGTAACTACACACCATAATAGCCTTTCTCTTTGTGTGTGTGTGTTACTCTCCCTATACAACTCATTTCACCCAATAATTAGGAGTGAGAGGACAGTGAGGAAGGAAACCCAGACACACAAGATTAAGACATGAAGAAACAAAGAGATACTGTGAATTTTGGCCCCAAGAAGGCCCTCCTGATGCCACCACCTAGCAGTGAGGACACAGATGCAGCGCAGAATTTTAAATAAATTTGGCTGAAGCGACGTGCCGGGCCGGCAGTCCCGCAGGATGCAGCCTTCGATGCGCGGAGCAGACGCAGCGCCGCCGCCGTTTGCACCCACATCAGGGGGATTAGAAATGAAAGGCAATTATTTACAAAGGTAATTATTCACCAAGGTAATTATTTAGCGTTTTACTGACAGCTAATCTCAGGAAACATCAAGGGGGAAAAAAAACATGCTGGGGTAAACAAGGTTTGTGAATAGGGAGCAGGTCATGCGTCGACCTCCGAAATCTCCTCCAAATGGGTGAGAAAAAATGAAAAAAAAAGCGCAAAATACCCGGTCGTCGCCGGGGCTCGCGCCAGCAGCCACTGAGACCCGCGCAACGTGGCATTTCCCAGCCGCCTACAAACAAACAGGACACTGGCTGCTAGTAAATAAGGGTTTGTTTTTTTTCCCAGGCCCGAAAGAAAAAAAAAGAAATAATAATAATAATAAAAAAAGGGCCCAACAATAGTGGGACCCGCGGGGCTGGCGGTTCACAGGAAATGCTCGCTGTGTCACCAGCGGCCTCGGGGCTGCGGGAGGTCACGAGGCGCGGGGAAGAAAGATTAGGTCGCTCCTATTCAAACCCGGTTCTTTTTCTTTGATAAGTTCTATGGGGGCAGGGGAGAGAAAAAAAATAGGGCTTTATGCGCTGAACAATGAGATCTGATATGGGAATAGGATGCAATGGGGTCGGCTTGTCAGAAATCGTCACCTAGACCCTTGTTTGTGCTCCTAGGTAAACACCAGGGAGGTTTCTGCGTGGCCAGAAAGGAGCTGCCGGGTTCTGCAGCCGCTTTGGAAATGCTGGAGGCGGCTAAAAATACTCCCTATGGATGTGTTTACAACATATCAGTGGCACGAGGCATTCTGGATTTAAAGAGCACCATGGCAGGGCAAAGCGACGCTTTTAAATGGTACTCTCAAGGCTGGGAGCAGAGGAGAATGGAACAGCTCCTGGTTTGCACCCTTAATGCTGCACCTGCTGGCGGGTGAGAAATGAGAATGGTGAGAAATGCACACAGAGATTAGTCTCCAAACGCAAGAAGCTACAATAAAATCGTGGGCTTCAGTTTCATATGGAAGTTTTGCTCTTAATTTACCCCTGTCCTGACCACGTTTGCTCATTCTCATCACATTTTCTGAGCATTAACTACCATCAGTTGGTAAAAATCCATCTTATTTCCCTGTGCTTTCTAGCTCCTCATGAGCAGGGATCACTCTCTGAGGGACGCTCGGGGCTGCTCCTGGCGGTCTGAGGATGAGGATGGGGCTGCCTCCTCCACAGGCACCTGCTCCTGGCACCATCCAGGCCTTCCCTGCAGTTTCACGCCTTTAAAATGCACCGACATTTCTGCTCTTGCCACACCAAATTGTAAGAACAACAAGATTATAGTTAAAATCTGGATCTAGAGGAGCAATAAATGAGGGGGGTTATAATGCAGGACTTTAGAGGTGCTGGAAAAGCTGTGCAAGCTTCGTTTCCTTAGAAGCCAGATGCCAAGAAGCCACACTTTTATGGCAGGAAATTTCCAGGAATTTGGAAACTATTCAAACAGGTTCTGCCCTAACTAAACTGGTGCAATAAAATAACGCTCTCGCTCTCCTCTCCAACAGCTTCAGCAGCGAAATGCTGGTATGCGAGTCCACATCCAGAGGCCTGAAGGGGTTTTTTTAAGCCTTGGAAGAGTAATATTACCCTCTGGCAAAGCTATTTCGCCTTTCAACATAAAAAGAGCTTTAAAAATCTGTCATGCAGTAGCATGGCTGCAGCAACCACATCGGGTTAAATAACATTAGTGGAAAATAGCATTGAAGAAATGAGTTATGGGCTTCTTAAAGGATTTCACCCATCATCCAGTTTCCCATTTGCCGCCTCCGTTCAATCACTGCTCCTCAACCTCCTCCCCGCCTGATCTTTGGCCAGGGTGGGAGTCATCAGCGTTTCATTAGGTGCTGCCGCTATATCGCCGCTCCACCCAATGCTGGAGAGACGTTTATGGGGCTTCAATGACGGCTTCTTGTTTATAATGGGGTTTTATGGTGCTGCATTGGGAAGGAGAAGCCTACAGGGAAAAAGGGAGCCAAGGTTTGTGGGCAAAGGAAAGGCGGAGGTAACAGAATAAGAACTGAACATTGAAGGGCAGCAGTGCAATTGCCAATAAAATGCTGTCCAATAAAGCTTTTAAAGCTCTATTTATCTATTTTTTTTTAAAGTTTCTCACCCTCCTGCTAGCTTACTTCTACATAGTAACTATATAATTCATGCAGAAGATGCTCTCCAGCCTATTACCCTTGCAACAGCCCAGCTTCCTACCTCCTTATACACAACTTGCACAACTCGCTGCGCTGCAAGCGATGGCCTCATTGTTAAATTCCCATTCCCTGCAATAGGATTTTTTTTTCTTTGCCCTACAACCCCCAAATCCTTGGAGACCATAAAGGATCCGGTCCCTGCTGCCAAGCAAGTGCCTGGCAGGTACTTAGCTCCGCGTGGCGCTCACTCAGGGTATCCAGGGGCTTGGAAAAGGAAGGCGAGCAGACACGAGGGTAGCCAAGAGGAAGGATTTTTGTCGAGCGGGCAGCACCACCTCCACTCCTTGGAATTGCAAGCAGCAAGAGAACAGCTTCTTTCCAGGTTTGGAGTTTAGGCATTAAGCGGAGAGCAAAGGAAATCACAAGGAGCACATGGGGAAAACCAGCCCCTTCCCCATTTTCCTGTGCATTTGGAAACAGAAAGAGCAGCGAAAGGAGGCTGGTTTTGGCCTGTATCTGCCTGCCCTCATTGCCCCGCGGGATTACGGAGCAGCCGGCTGATCCGGGTGGTTTGGCAGGGATCACATTTGCATAGTCCTTTACGGGTCAGGACGAGGCGCACGCGGCTCCCTCTAATTACCCTCAACGGCGAAAGCAAAACAAATATAGCTAATCAACACTGGCGGAACCTCGAGTAACCTTCCTATCCCAAAAGTCATTCTTTTCCAGCCAGAAATCCCCCTGTTTTTTGGAGGGATACACAGCTGAACTGATCTCACCTACGCTCCTTGTGCCAGGCGTGCGTCGCAGGCTCCAAGTGCTTTTTACTTCCTCTTAATCAGCAAAGCCTGCCCAAAAGCCGGCGTTCCCAGCACACGGGTACAAAAAGAGCATTGTTAATTGTTATCACGCTGCAAAAAAGCAACCTGCTGGCCTTCCCAAGGCTTTAGGCTTGTTTAGCATAGGAATAAACACACTGGCAGTGTTTTTGGTGCACCACTGTTTTTTGCTGCATTTTTTTGCCACAACTGTGCTGTGGG